CAAAACCTATGGAAGGTGTCGCCTTTGGAGGAGGACATGCCTGGCACATGACCTGATTAAATGGTCATGTGTATGCACATTGGTAAAGATTGCTGATTGGATGGTACCTACAGGTGAGTGCATGTGGTTGAATGAACTGCAACTCTGCATGGAGGCTGCTATTTGGTAGAGTGGTGATTGGTGTGCATATAATGGAGAGGTACCGGTGTTCATAGAAACCATTATGTGATGTTACATATGGCTATTTTCCATGAAAGCTTTCAATTGTTCCCGTTGTGTGAAAACAAGCCCTGGGGAAAGTGTGTGTTTTGTGCTTAGCGTACTGTCAATGCTTATGTGTCTGTCTTTGACTGCCATTTTGTCAGGAGTCTACCATGCTAACTGTGTCACAGCTAGTCTATGTCTATCTGTATGTGTGTGACTGTGAAGGCATTAAAAGACTATTATCTTGTACAAGATTATGTTGGGAGTCTACCATGCTAACTGCATGTGTGGCAGCCAGTCTATGCCTATGTGAATCATGATGGTGACTTTTTTGAAAGACTTAAGAATAAACACCTGGTAACATAACATTACACACACACGCAAACACCACCAGATAATTCAGTTAATGAATGGGATGGGGATTTATTGCAATGAATTGTATGGTGTGAGGTAATTCTTTATAGTTTAACTCATTACATTACGTTGTCAGCATTGTTATCATTTTGTTTGATTAATGTTTCATTGATTTTGAGTATGCTTATGCTGTGTATCTTTGTGCATAACAAATGATTTAATTGAATGTGACCCTTGCACCTGTGTATGAACTGGTCTATGTAATAATATCTTCTCACACTAATTTGTACATTGTGAGTCACCCATGAAAACATTGAAGTTCTGATGTGCGTTTGGTCATGCTGTAACCAGAACCCAAACGGGGTGAAAGTATGTTTTAATGCTGCTATATTTTGGAACTAATTGACAAGTGGCACTGTTGCAAGATACAAGATTTGAGTTGATAAAGAGTATGTTATTGCATTGAAATAATTTCTCAACGGCTTTGTTCTGGCAATAAACTTTCTTGGCATTTAGAAAAAATTACCGAAAGTCACAGCAAAGAAATGCAGTTGGGGTTTAAAATGTTATTATCATTTACACATGTTGTTCTCATTACTATACCACATTCTATGATTATATTGATTCAGTTCTAGTTTTAGTATTATCTCATAATCGCGATAAATGCTATAAATAATCTTAGTACACTGTCAAGCAGATAGTATTCATCCCTCTGATTGGGCAACTCAGTTGAAAATACACTGTTACCATAACAACCAAAGAGTAATAAGAGTCACTTACTTATTCATTGAAACTTGGCATTTGTCTCTTTCACTGGTTGCTATGGTTTCAACCTCCTTAAAACACTTCTCAGCAGACTTTACATCACCAAGCTGTGAAAACAAGTGTTGCCATGGCATTACATTCACATGATTTGTATGTTATTATCTATTTAACTTGTGTAATTTTCCCAGCATCTGTGATCACAATTTGTAGCAGAGATGACTATCATTCACACTAGAAGAGATTTACACATGTAATGCACACCACAAGGAGAGTATGAATAAAATATTGAACAAAAGTTGAGTCATTTAATCACCTGTAGATGCAGTCTTCCAATACCACTCCATAACAGTACTGCATTTTTCACTTCTTTTGTCATCAATTCTTTGTACACATTGCTAGCCTGATTGTAATCCTAAAAGAAAAAGGAATTTTATTCTGAAACTGCAAATTTTATACTGTCATTACGTTAACTAGGTATTCCCCTAACCTGTTCTCTTGAAACTAGCATGACCCAAAAAGGTCACACATCCTGGTACTTGCACAACTTATGAAGGTTAAAATTCTGTGAAATGTAATACTGTAAAATACTTTTTTTTAGCTGGAATTAATTTTCGCTGAAAAGACTTTTTGGGTGTTTTGTATGGAATTTATTTTCACTGATTTTTAATGAGTTAAATGTAAAAATATAGAAAAACGGGTATATTCGCTGGATTTAGATTTCAATGAATCATTTCTTCAGCGAAAATAGTGAAAATTAATTCCAGCGAAAATAAAGTATTTCACAGTAATTTGAATAGCCAAAGATGGGTTTTGCTTACATTGCATGATGGCAAATTTACTTCCTGATTACTGTATGTTATACAACGCAACTTCCATGGCAAGGCAGCTTTGACATAACTTATGTTTACAGAAAGTCTCATCGAATTGGCTAACTGCTTGGGATTTGACTAAACAGTTGGCTTTTGAATCTCGCTGGCGCCGACTTGTGATTGCGTCCACTCTGGGCGAGTCTATATTGCATTAGGGAACATAGAATGCTTTTACGTAGCCTGGTACATGTCTGGATTCCCCTGAATGATTTGCTTTGCGAGGCGTGATGTAAAAGTAGTTTCCCTGGTCAGCCTGAGAATGGCCACAGTCAGTTGGCGTACAAGTGATAATATGATGTATGTACACTATATTTACTGTATACTATATAATGTACACTATATTTACTGTATACTATATAATGTACACTATATTTACTGTATACTATATAATGTACACTATATTTACTGCATACTATATAATGTACACTATATTTACTGCATACTATATAATGTACACTATATTTACTGCATACTATATAATGTACACTATATTTACTGCATACTATATAATGTACACTATATTTACTGTATACTATATAATGTACACTATATTTACTGCATACTATATAATGTACACTATATTTACTGCATACTATATAATGTACACTATATTTACTGCATACTATATAATGTACACTGTATACTATATAATGTCCACTATATTTACTGTATACTATATAATGTACACTATATTTACTATATTGGGGTAGCCATCGTGAACACTGATTGAAACAAAATAAAGAGACGAGTTGAGAAACAGTTGCCTACAAAAGGGAGAAAATAAATTTTCACATCGAAACGATTCGTTGGGGTAACCTTAAACCAACCGCTAATAAAATTCGACTTCATTCATCGTTTTTCCGTGGACAATCCCTTGTATACGAACACCTCATTACACAAAGAAAATAGAACACTTTCCCTGGTATATTTGAAAGCGAAATCGCCATCCAACTGAAGTATGACGACCGTTTCCTACTGTTATATAGATTCATCCAGAGTGGGCGTGACAACAGGACGGCGCCAGCGAGATTCGAAAGCCAACTGTTCAGTCAAAACCAAAACAGTTAGCCAATTCACTAGCAAGTTTGCGAATTGGCGGCCCGAATATTTTTGAGACTTGCTGTAATACTTTAGGATAGATGAACGAACACAGTCCAAGTACTTGCATAACAGATGAAGGTCATATGTCCTGGCATTTCAAATAATTTCAAAAGATCATTTTCTCTCCTTGTAACTTTTCCCAATAAAACATTTTGTGTGTAATCAATCATATTTACTGTCATCAGAAATGATGACATCAACACAATCCTACCTTCATGAAGACAAGACAGTTACCAATGGAATACAGAACACGAATCAGTCTTGAGTTCCATAGATTTAGAGAAGCTGAAATATAACATGTAGAGCCAATAAAGATGATGCATTCTGGGAAAAATCTCACAATATTCTGCTTTTTTCTTCTTCTTTAGCTTTAGATAAACTGATTTATTTAAAAATGTTCACCTGTCCAGAAATGTAGTATTATAGACACGATATATATATATGACCTAGTTTGTGATGTATGTGTGAAGTTTAAATTTGATTGGTTCAGGCATGTATGAGATATGGTTCTATGGAACTACGTTCATTTAAATCCAATTTGAGCTTGATTGGTCCTTGCATAGCAAATAATGGAAAAGGAACTGCATTCTTTGAAACAAGGTCTCATTATGTTCAATGTATGTACATGTACCAAGTTTTAATCAAATCTGTCCACACATCCGGTTCAAGAATGGTGACAATGTATGAATTTGATGCATTTTTGGCATTAAAATGGCTGCCATTTGGCCATACTGAAACAAATGCATGAGCATATTTTCAAATAATGTATGATGTGTGTTAAGTTTCAACTTGATCGGTCCAGGCATGTCGGATCTATATGGATCCGTGACTGCATTCTTTAAAACAAAATGGCCGTCAGTCAGCCATTTTAAAGCTGATTTGAAAAATAAAAATGATGTGCATCAAGGTCCCTTCATGTTAAACGTATGTACTAAGTTTGTCACAGAATCTGTTCATGCACACTGAATTGTAATGCATTTTTAAATGGCTGCCACTCCACCATCTTGAATCAAATCATGAAACAAATGCATGTGCATATGTCTGATATGATGTCTGATTTATGTGTGAACTTTGAACTGTATCAGTCCAAGCATGAAGGAGATACAGCTGGATAAGGATGGATGGATGCTTGCATGCAAGCATGCATGCACACAAGGAGACCAATCCATAACTCCCCGCTTTCAGCAATTTATGTTTTTAAGTATAATGACATGTGATGAAAATCTCCCATCAATTGAATGTATTTTCAATCGATAGTTTCATGGTACACAGTGGATGAATGGAAAGGTTTGATTGCAAAAATGGGAATGGTCAAGATCACCATCATATTCAAAACTGTAAAATGCACATTATTTAATAGACTCGCCCAGCCGTGGCAATTTTATAATTTTCTCTCTTAAATCTTGGTCCGATGCGAAATTATCTCAACTGTTCAATTCTGCAGGATTCCCATTGTTATTACTTATTCATGATATGCAGTGACATTATGGAACCTGGGAGTGAAACACTTTCAAATAAGGGAAGTAGACTTGTGCTTGCGCAAAAGATTCTACGTGTCAGGCCACTTGTGCAATATAGTTGCATGGAACAGATCGGACCAAAAGCTGCTTTTCTTATTGGTTGGCAGCTTACAAGTCATGCTACTCATTAGCATATTTATCTCCACAAAAACACGGTGACAACCATAGAGGGTGCGACAGAATAGACCAGTTGTGGTAATTTCACAATTCTACTTAACTCATTTAAAGGATTTTAATAGCATATGAAACAATAAAATTGCCACGATAAAATTGCACAATAAAAGATGAAAAATGAGTTCTTTTACAGTCATTAATATTCATTAGTATTTCTAGATATGTATGCTTCTCTTTGTGGTCAACCCTCACATGACTTTTTACTTTAATATGTTTTCAGACATCCTTATTTTAAAAAATCCTTATTACTCTACATAGAAGACAAGATTAGAAAATTCAAAACATTTTCAAGTCTTAAAATTCTTACATACTTGTAGACCTAGCACAATCATGTCTCAAAAACTCAAAGAAAAATAGAATTACCCTTTCTGTTTTCATCTGACAACTCAATACCACTTCCATCTTCAGCCAATCCACTTTCTAAATTACTGATAATCTGTAATTAATTTTAAAAAACATTACGACAAATCTTGTAGTGTCCATCTAAGTACAGATATAAAAAACCCAACAAAACAATGGAAATTACCCAGCAATATGAATAGTTACAGTTTTCATTTACATATCATTTTCGCCCGCCAGAGTATTTTTTTCACCCCACTCAAAAACTTCTTGGTGGCAACCATCAGTTGCCGAAAGAGGGCGTGGTTTGCGACGATGACACATATCCACTACGTGCATAGGCAAGTAAGCAGTGTATTACTGTGAAATACTTTATTTTCACAGAATAATGAATTTCTGTTTTTGTTTTAAATTTATACCTGAAAAGACTGACACTCGTAAACAAAGCAATTTAAGCATCATAGGTTAACTTGAAAGCGTCACATGCAGAGGGCAAGCATCATAGGAAAGTATTTTTATGTAATGCTATGTATGGGTGTTTTGTAGTTTTTTTTGTTTAACTATTATTATGATGTCACTTCCAGTAAATAATCATAAATATTTATTAACTAGATGTTTGCTTGAAATTTAACTTCATGCAAAACCTTTGGAAAAGTAGGAAAAATAAAATCCATGTGAAAATAAAGTATATCACAGTCCATGGATTTGAAATGTTTTGTTTTAAATTAGTACAATTTAAATATTTAACTTAGTACAAATTTATAGCAAACGCTGTCAACTTGTATAATGCAAACATATATATCAACGGAGTAGACCTGCTGCAGCATTATGCTGGACTGTTACACGACTATGCTGGATAGCTGCAGCACTGTGCTTGTATGCTGCAGTACTATGCTCAACTGCTGCAGCACTTGGCTGGGCTGTTACACAACTAGGTTAGGGAAGAGTAGGAAATCAAACGGGCGGTTCACCGCAGTAATCACCACGGCTCTCCGCGGTACACCGGGGAGAGCCGCGGACTGCTTATAATTGGGGGTCTCTACCGTGGTGGCCACCGATACCGGTTGCAACCGCGGTCGTAGGAAAGGTGTGAAATACATACTTAACAGTTTCCTTTGTGATTCCATGAGTCTTTGTTTCAAATAGCTGTTTTTAAATCGAGCAGGTTACGAGCATCGCTGGCATGGAAATACTTAGCATATAGTAATATTATCGACCCACGTATTTTATTAATATAAAAATCCATAAGTCCAATGCTGTATACGAATTGTTGTTGCGTGAAACAATGTTGTATTTTATGCATGTATTTATCACCAATTCCAAGAGTAAAAGTTGTAACTTTCGAAGGTACGAGTATTATGACTCGTCCATACATTTCACTTACGTTTCTAACACTTGAATAAAGTCTACCACATGAAAAGAATGTTATTTACGAAGTTTTAAATAGCCGAG